GCGTTCCTCCGCGACACCCACAGTGAACGATAAACCAACAGTCAACAGAGCATAGTCCAGAAACTGACTGAGTGACGAACGCGGACCTTCGCATCTAAGCTTAGACCTTAGAGGTTGGTTAATGCCATCACAGAAAAACTCTATCATAAAACTCTAAATTATGTCCGGAAAATTTGAATAGTGAGTGATGGCTAAAAATTCTTGAATATGATTCTCTAACGATCGTGGACCTTGTTTAAGAGCTAATAATATTCTTGGTGTGTCCATGCCTGACCAATGTCCACTTGAACAGCTGCTGGATCCTTGTGTGGCCGAGTATTCTGTAACGGGGCGAACGAGACGTGAGACGTGCGGATCCATATGCACGGCTTTATTTCCAAGACGTGGTCATATAACAGGCATGGGTCAAACAATGGCAAACAGGTACAACACAGGCAAGACAAAGAGTAATCCTAGGACAAGCGTGGGTCTTCGATAGGCGAACAGAATCCAGAGGGCTTGACAAAAGGGGTAATCCGTAATACACAGGCAAAGATCTTCACACAGGAAAACAGGCAAGGCACGACTAGACTAAACTATGAACTAGTCTGGGAACTGGCTCCGTAAAGTAGCTACCGCTAGAAGAGTGATAAATGCTAAACAATACTCAGCGTTGAATGGTGGTGTGAGACTGATTTATATAGTCAAGTCAAGTCAAGTCACCTTTATTTATATAGCGCTTTTAACAATACAGATTGTGTCAAAGCAACTGAACAGCATTAATTAGGAAAATAGTGTGTCAATAATGCAAAATGACAAATATTTTGAAGAATGTTGGTAACCAAACAGTTTATGGTTTACAGTAGCCACAGTATGCAAAAATACAATGGCTACCATCAACTGTTTGGTTACCTACACTCTTCAAAATATATTTTTCTGTGCTCAAACACTCATACAGGTTTGGAACAACTTGATGTAAGGAAATGATGACAATTTAAATTTTTTGGCCAAATGAAGCCTTTAAGTTTTCTGTAACATTATGTTCACATATGCAAACGTTGCATTATCTAATTAAATATGCACTCATTTGCATATATTTCCAGAATAATAAACTGAACATTGCATAAAGCCTGGTCCAATTTTTTTTTTACATATTAGAGTTAAAGGCTTTTACTGAGGGGATCTCTCTTTTAATCGCTCCATAAATCACAAAATACCGCCAGAAAAAAACCACCATATTTAGAGGTTACAGTGGGTACGGAAAGTATTCAGACCCCCTTAAATTTTTCACTTTTTGTTATATTGCAGCCATTTGCTAAAATCATTTAAGTTAATTTTTTTTCCTCATTAATGTACACATAGCACCCCATATTGACAGAAAAACACAGAATTGTTGACATTTTTGCAGATTTATTAAAAAAGAAAAACTGAAATATCACATGGTCTTAAGTATTCAGACCCTTTGCTGTGACACTCATATATTTAACTCAGGTGCTGTCCATTTGTTCTGATCATCCTTGAGATGGTTCTACACCTTCATTTGAGTCCAGCTGTGTTTGATTATACTGATTGGACTTGATTAGGAAAGCCACACACCTGTCTATATAAGACCTTACAGCTCACAGTGCATGTCAGAGCAAATGAGAATCATGAGGTCAAAGGAATTGCCTGAAGAGCTCAGAGACAGAATTGTGGCAAGGCACAGATCTGGCCAAGGTTACAAAAAACTTTCTGCTGCACTTAAGGTTCCTAAGAGCACGGTGGCCTCCATAATCCTTAAATGGAAGACGTTTGGGACGGCCAGAACCCTTCCTAGAGCTGGCCGTCTGGCCAAACTGAGCTATCGGGGGAGAAGAGCCTTGGTGAGAGAGGTAAAGAAGAACCCAAAGATCACTGTGGCTGAGCTCCAGAGATGCAGTCGGGAGATGGGAGAAAGTTGTAGAAAGTCAACCATCACTGCAGCCCTCCACCAGTCGGGGCTTTATGGCAGAGTGGCCCGACGGAAGCCTCTCCTCAGTTCAAGACACATGAAAGCCCGCATGGAGTTTGCTAAAAAACACCTGAAGGACTCCGAGATGGTGAGAAATAAGATTCTCTGGTCTGATGAGACCAAGATAGAACTTTTTGGCCTTAATTCTAAGCGGTATGTGTGGAGAAAACCAGGCACCTGTCCAATACAGTCCCAACAGTGAAGCATGGTGGTGGCAGCATCATGCTGTGGGGGTGTTTTTCAGCTGCAGGGACAGGACGACTGGTTGCAATCGAGGGAAAGATGAATGCGGCCAAGTACAGGGATATCCTGGGCGAAAACCTTCTCCAGAGTGCTCAGGACCTCAGACTGGAACTAAGGTTTACCTTCCAACAAGACAATGACCCTAAGCACACAGCTAAAATAACGAAGGAGTGGCTTCACAACGACTCTGTGACTGTTCTTGAATGGCCCAGCCAGAGCCCTGACTTAAACCCAATTGAGCATCTCTGGAGAGACCTAAAAATGGCTGTCCACCAACGTTTACCATCCAACCTGATAGAACTGGAGAGGATCTGCAAGGAGGAATGGCAGAGGATCGCCAAATCCAGGTGTGAAAAACTTGTTGCGTCTTTCCCAAAAAGACTCATGGCTGTATTAGATCAAGAGGGTGCTTCTACTAAATACTGAGCATTTTTCAGTTTTTCTTTTTTAATAAATCTGCAAAGATGTCAACAATTCTGTGTTTTTCTGTCAATATGGGGTGCTGTGTGTACATTAATGAGGAAAAAAAATTAACTTAAATGATTTTAGCAAATGGCTGCAATATAACAAAGAGTGAAAAATTTAAGGGGGTCTGAATACTTTCCGTACCCACTGTATATTTTAGTTGCTTTTAGGCTAAATCTCACAAAAACATGTCTTAAGTCACATTTCACTCCAAAATCAAAAGCAAAGAATGTACACTACCATTCACAAGTTTGGGGTCATCAAATTAATACTTTCATTCAGCAAGGACGCATTAGTGGTCAAAAGTGGTCAAAAGTGACAGTAAAGACATTTTACAAAAGATTTCTGGGTCCCACTTTATATTAAGTGGCCTTAACTACTATGTACCTACATCAAAAATAAGTACTTATTGTGTTCATATTGTATTGCTAAACACTTTTGCTGCTATTGAGGTGGGATATGGGTAAGGTTAGGGACAGGTTTGGAAAGGGTTAAGGGTGGGTTAAGGTGTAAGGGATGGGTCAACAGTGTAATTATAAATGTAATTAATTACACATGTAATTACATGCAGGTATGTTTTAAAATATAAGTACAATGTAAAACATGTATGTACACAATAAGTGCACTGTACCAAATAATTAATGTAAATGTAAGTACATAGTAGTTAAGGCCACTTAATTTAAAGTGGGACAGATTTCTGTTTCAAATAATTGCTGCTCTTTTGAAGTTTCTATTCATCATAGAATCATTCAAATAAATGTATCACAGTTTCCACAAAATCAGCATATTAGAAAAACATTAATTCTGAAAAATCATGTCACACTAAAGACTGGAGTAATGGCTACGCAAAATTCAGCATCACATTCATCCATCACAGGAATAAATGATGTTTAAAAATGTATTAAAATAGAAAATGGTTGTTTTGAATTGTAATAATATTTCACAATTGTACAGTTTTTATTGATAAAATACATGTAACCTTGTTGAGCACAAAAGACTTAAAAAATATTACTGACCCAAACGTTTGAACAGTAGTTTATATTATATTATATTATATTATATATACATTACGGTTGATAATGTTACAGATAATATTCTTGACAGATTTCGTGAGATTCACCCTATAGCTGATAAGTCCATCTATGTTCTACAGTGTGATTTGGTCCTTCTCTGTCTCTCAGACATTGATGAGTGTGAACTCCATAACGGTGGCTGTGACCACTACTGCAGGAACACCATTGGCAGCTTTGAATGTAACTGTCGAAAAGGCTTCAAACTGCTGACGGATGAGCGTTCGTGCCAGGGTAGGATGCTCTTCTTCTGCTATAGGTCCAACACAACGTAGAGAAGCAGCGTGGGGGTTGGTGTTAGTATCTGTGTTTGTAACTTAAGCTTGGAGATAAGACCGGATGGGAGTCTCGTGAAGTGTGCCAGTATCGACTTGCAAGATTCCTTTGAAGATCCTTAACACAGACTTAGAGTGAAAGAATATATTTCGTTTAAGCACACAGACAACTCCCTCTCCTTGATACAAGTCTTACAAGTACCTTTCCCTGTTATTAATAAAAACAGGGATTGATTGATATCTTTCAAACTGAATATGGAGCCTTTGAACAGGAAATGAGAGTGTGTTTGATGTAGAAGCTGTGCAGTGTGCAGTTTTCAATTTAAGTTAATTTTGGTTTGATTATAGATATCGACGAGTGCTTTTTTGAGAGGACGTGCGACCACACTTGTGTAAACTCACCTGGTAGCTTCCAGTGTGTTTGCAACAAGGGCTACACTCTTTATGGGCTTGCCCATTGTGGAGGTAAGGATACAAACAGCTATTTTAAATTAAAAAACAAAAACAAAGGTCTATGATGCTGTTTTATTGACCAATCACACAGAATTATTACAGATGAAGTGCAACTTTAAGACTTGTTTACCTGAAATACTACTTAGCGTTTGCCTATTCCTCCATTCTTAGACATAAACGAATGTAGTTTGAACAATGGAGGATGTGATCACACCTGTGAAAACACCATGGGAAGCTTTGAGTGCCACTGTCATGCTGGTTACAAGCTGCACTGGAACAAGAAAGACTGTATCGGTAAGATGAGCCTGAGTGATTCTGAATGCTGGATTTCTATATCTGATGATGTCGGCTTAGATGGAAATCAGTGGGAGTTAAAAGCAGGAGATACTTTTGAGTTCCTTTATCTGGCTCTCTCTGTCTGTGCTATTGCTGAACAAACAGATACCAGGTGCTGTCTAACTCAAATCTCACATGTTCTCATCTTAAACACACTACATTGTTGAGCTTTCGATCTGTGTTTCTAACTCATTCCATCCACCTTGCTCTCGGCATGTATACCATAGCTTCCCATTTAAGCATTGTGATTTTCACATTCAGAAGCAGAGGACTCTCCACTAGTGCCGCCACCTGCCAGACCCACTCTCAACTGCAGTAAGCAGGGAGGGGGCGAGCTCTGCTACCTGACCTGCCAGTCGCAGGTTCATATCATCAGTGGTGAGTGTTACAACATGTAGAGATCTTTCTTTGTCTACATGCTGGAGTTTGCTTGGAGCTTCTCTGACACCTTCATCTTCATCTGTAGGAGCTGAAGATTCATACACTGTGACCTGTGGCATGCCCCTGCCGTGCCATGCAGGAGGACAGTGGAAAGGGAATGGGTCATATTGCCCAGGTAAATCCATGTGGATGTGTATTGGGTTTGAACTGTTCCAAATTGTCTTCAGCTTCATTCTTTATGTTAAGTATTCACACTTAATAGAGTGATATTATTATGTGAATTTAGAATAATTTATTTGAAATCCCAAACGGTGATGTTGTTATTATGTTGTTGTAATAGTTAATATTTTGAATTCTCTTTCATTTTTATATTTTCAGTTTTCATTTTAATTTTAGTTCAAGTTTTAGTAGTTTTAAGTTTTTTAAATATTTTTATTTTAAATTTAAATTGTATAGTTTTTATAAAGTTTCAGTTTAAATATTTCTATTTAGCTTTATTTATTTATTTATTTTTGGTTTTGGTTATAATATTTTAGTAATATTAGCACTTCAGAATAAACTTATTTTATTTCAGTTAGTTGCCAGGGCAAGTTTAAATTTAAGTTTTCACATCTAATATTAATTAAAAGTTTTTGTTTAATTAACAATAACAACACTGGTCTGAAATAATGAATGTGATGAGTGAAAGTTCCTTCCTGTTGCAGGTTCAGGAATCAAAACCATTGCTACATTTAAATCTGGTCAGGGGAAGTGCAATCTGAAGCGGAGTCAGGAAAATCTTGCACAGAGCTTCAAAACCGCCCTGTCAGGTACTGGCCTCGAAGCAACACAGTTCTCACTGAAAATATACGCCACTAACTAATGAAGCAGCAATTTGTTTGCACAGGCTTTAAGTCCAAGTCTAAATCCACCCCATTAAACACTGTGGCATGACTACATTTGTCAACATTTTTCAAGACTGAAATGGAAATCACTAGCCTTTTCCTCTCTAAGCAAGTATACTCAATGGAAAAAAAGAGCGATGCAGCAAGCCAGACACAGAAATATCTATAATAATGCTATATAATTTCACAAGTTACAAATTTGATACTGACCAGTGTCATTTGGTGTATATGAGGGGGATGTTCAAGTTAGAATCTAGTCTTGCTGGCACTCATTGTCCTGCAGTGTTCAAAAGAGTTAGATGAAATTAGCCATGACATGCCTTTCAACTACCCAAGTCCTACCCAAGCCATCAACAACAGTGACCTCCTGATCAGACTCAGGGTCTGAGAGTCTGAAAGAGTCCCACACTCTTCAGTGAAATAGTTTTTCCTCTCTCTGCTCATGTTTGATTCTTTCTGCACTGTTATCCATACTGAGAAGCAAAAGGGATGCAAGAAAAAAATGGATTTTAATAACAAAAGAAAACAAGAGTTGAGCCTTCATTTTCATTTACGATTCTCTAAATCCATTAAGTCTTTAATATCTATTTACTCAGATAAAAGAGCCACCGAGAATGTCCAGTTCAGCTTTGTTAGCCTGCACTGTGCCTCTTCAAGCAGACAGCAACGTAGTCGCCACGGGCGGAAGGCTGGCGAAGAGGAAGGGTCCTCTATTACTGCCCAGTTTGAGCTGGATGTGAACCTGGAGGAGGTAACAGGTTGGTTTCGTGCACTGCATGTGTATGTTTCAATAGAAACCTTAGGCCTCTCACTGCTTGCTCGCATCTCTCCCTCTTCCTGCTCCTGTCGCTGTTACTAAAACAAGCCAACAGGTGAAAGTATCTCCTGGTTAAAGATGGAAGTGGGTTTTATATTCAGTAGTGGACAGTGTGCATGAAATGGGTGTTTGTGTGCACTCTGTGTGTGTATTATATTGTTCTGTACTAGATATGGTATCCAGTGTTTCTCTCAGCAGAGGGCTGTGACCTGGCATGTGTTCGGCGGCACTCTGAGAAGCGGCTTAGGAAGACTATCCGCACTCTTCGAAAGTCCATTAACCGGGAGCAGTTTCACCTGCACTTTGCTGGATCGGAGTATGAGCTGGCTAAGAAACTTGTCCGACCTGCTGACCCACCAGACCACTGCGGCACCGGACAAGTTCCGCTGGACAAGAAATGTGGTGAGTGCAAATATACACAACTTATAGTTGCTTGAGGAATATTTGTTAAGATTCCCATATGTATTATATAATTTACTTTGCATATTGGTTGTGCTCCAGGTCACTGATTATGTCTAGTTGGAATGAATCGGTTATATCCGACAGCATTTTAGATTATGGAGTGCTTGGACTGGTATTTTGTAGAAGTGGATTTGGCATCAGTGCAGGCCAGATAACTGACATATATTAGGTGTTATACAGTATAATATGTATGGTGTGAGAGAGTTGGCGTGAGTTTTATTTAAGAGGCAAGATTGGGAAACAGAAGGCTGCTGTTGGCTCTTACAGCTGAATGCTGTTCCAACCTCAAGACTGAAGCCGAGTACATGTTTTGTGTGACAGGCGTACTTCAGATCAGCTCGCTACAGCATATGTTCAACTTGACATCCATTTTCGTTAGCCTCTAGAATAAACATCTCAGAGGGACTGTATGTGAGGCTTAGCAAACTCTTTGTCTGGAGGACATATTGTGTTGAACATTATCTCATTGCCTTCATTGTCTTTGACATAAGGCTCTTTCAAAGATGTCTTTTTAAGGTGACGGTACTGCTGAGGATGTTTGTCCTCTTTTATGGTGGAAAAGTCCATTATCTTTTACAGGCTCAGTTTCAGCTGTAATGCAGACAACCAAAGGCGCTCTGCTTTTTCAAGGCTGTCATTTGCTGTAAAGACTTCTCTGTAACAGTCTGACTCCAAGTGAAATGTTATTGCTCTGAGATTGCACTTTCATAGCTATAGAGACTTAATAGACATCTCCATTATGTTTTGTCCATGTATCAAATTTGTGATGTTTCTAACCCTAAATTCATCAAAAGAAACTGAATAAAAAGATGAAATGAGACAATTGGTGACAAACTAAATTACAGCATGTCATTTTCGCTTTAGTTTGACTTTGGAAGAATCTGATGGGATTTCAAGTTCAGTTTCAAGACTTTTGCATTGCAGTTTGAGACGTTTTTGAAATTTCGTCTTTAGATTATTTTTGAAAAGGCATTTTTACTTGAACAGAAGTTTTCATATGATCTTCTTTTCATGCATTTGGGTCTTAAAGGTTTGGGTCAGCAATCACTTTTTTTATATTAATTTAAAATTAGACTGGAATAATGGCTGCTGAAAATTTAGCTTTGCCATCACAGAAATATATTGCATGTTAAAATATGTTAAAATAGAAAGCAGTTGTTTTAAATTGTAATAATGATTCATAATATTACTGTTTTTACTGTACTTTTGATCAAATAAATGCAGTCTTGGTGAGCATAATAGACCTCTTTCAAAAACAAACAAAAAAAAAACTTGCTGATTTTTGAATGGTAGTATCACTGCCCATATACCTTCTGTCTCTACCTGTGTCTATTTTGAAGTAGTTTGGGGAGTTCGCAGTGGTTCTCTCTCTTCTTTGCCTCAGGGGGTGGGGTTTTGAGTGTGTGATCCATTTTAACCGCAGTGGGTTAACTCTCCATTGGAGTATGATAATGGAGGGGAATGAAGTGAGAAGACTGGTGACCACTGACCAGCTCCCTCCTCATTGTTTTACAAATCACAAGTCCAACTTTGCAGATCCAAGCTATACATCTACATCTCATTTAACATGTTTGGAAAGCAATGCCAAGTGAAATGTACACGCTTGCCAGTAAGTAATTAATTGAATCCATGCTGAATATAGGATTGTAAGTTTTGCTCTTTTCACTAAAGCAGGCATACAGTTAAGGTACACAGAAGTGCAGTGTCCAAGTGCCAGCTTAAATCGAGCTCTAAAAAAAGCTAGATTTTTTCCTCCCTCTTCTGGCCTCCCCCTCTGGCTTGCCTCACTAAGTGCAGTTTAGCCTTTTCAGTTTGCCCACTCCATTGTAAATCCCAGTGGGGCTTGTGCAAGCTCCTAGAGTGAGTGGGGAAAATTTGTGCTTCAACACTTCTTTAGAGCTTTACAGACCTACCTTTGCTTTTTAAACCCTGAAGAGCGATCAGAACCTATCATGAAATGTATTCTACCTAATTAAAGGAATAGTCCACCCAATAAATAAAATTCTGCCATCATTTAGTCACCCTGATTGTCATTCCTGAACTGTATGACTTTCTTTTTTCTGTAGAACGATATTTTGAATATCTCTATTTTCCCCCTTTTTTGGATGCCACTGGCTTTCATGGTGTGGTCAAAAATATTGTTCAAAATATCTTTTGTGTTCCACTGAAGAAAGTAAGTCAAAAAATTTTGGAACAACAAGAGGGTAAGTAAATGATGACAGAATTTTCATTTTTGTGTGAAATTCCATGCTAATTCACTTAAAGCACACATACATTTTGAAATTTGACATGAAATGAACATGTAATCCATTAGTCAGATATTACCAAAACACACAATGATGAACTCTATATGAACAGCAAAGCTAAACAGTCACAGGAGGAGGAGTTTGCACAAGATTGCCCTGTCAGCTGCCGCTTTCCTCTCCTGTCCATAAATGTGCTAAGTTTATTGTTTGCTTGTTTGTTTTTGTA